AGCATCACTCAGCCACACCCCTTCCCTTCCAGAGGCGCGTAATGAATTGTTGACAAGCAGCTGGAGGCGAGGCGCGCGCGCGCGCGGTGGAGTGGAGTGGCGGGGCGTGGCGGGGCGTGGCGGGGCGCGGCGGGGCGTGGCGGGGCGCGGCGGGGTGCGGTGGCGCGCTCCGGATGCCTCCGGAGAACATAGCAAGTCGTGGTAGTTTTGCCCTCAACTCAACCCCTCCACTCTAACACACGCGCACACAAACACATACACTTACGCCCCTCCCCCCGCTCTTCCTCTCTCTGCCGCCCTCACGTGCGTGTGTCGCGCGGGGGGTGGAGGAGCCGAGGGTGTTGAGCAGCAAGGTGATGATCTTGTGGTCGTTGCGCCCTTGAGCCTCGAGGAGCGGCAACGCCAACGACCTGTTCTACAAACACTTACCGGGGCCGGAGGAGGCCGCCGGGGCCGCCGGGGCCGCCAGGGCCGCCAGGGCCGAGCATACATGAAAACATTGCCATTCTGCTGCAGCGTTTACTTTCACTCACACGGCCTGGGCTCTATATTGTGTCAAGAACCGACGCCCATGCCGAAGCCATTTATATAGGCAGTGATGAACTTTCACCCAACTAACACCTCCGGAGAAAATTGGTGGAATAAAAATGTAAATTTCATTTTTTTTGAAGTATGAAAATATGCAAAAACTTTTAAAACACACATTGGAAAAACAAAGGTGCTAACTCCTACCTTTGAGAGGCATTGACCAAGTTTGATGCCTTAGGAAAAGCACTAAATGTGACCTTCATACCTTAAGCTGGCTAGCTTCATAGTGCCACACAAGTGTAATGCCTTTCCAAAGGCACTTAACTTTGGCACCCCAACTGACTATGCTCTTGACTTTAGTGCCCCTGGAAAGGTGTTGTTTTGTGCCTTTGTTTTTCCACTGCAACTTAGATTTTTTTTAAAAAGAAATCTTGTAAAAAAGTAGTGTGCTGTAAAATTTATCGGTATGAATTTTTCTTCTTGTTTTTAAAATTGACGTATTTAGTTTTTACAGAGATACAAAATCAGAGAGTCATAAGCTACTCAGACTCAGTCATAGTCAATATTAACCACGCGAGTTAGAATATAATTTTTAGTTGATGTAATAGCTTATTCTCTTTCCTGTTTCATCAGTAGCGAAAGGTCCTAAAAAGGTAACGTTTTCGTGCACATTCAGACCGGATGCGATTTCGTTCCTAAAACTGGATAATTTGTATTAAGTATTACATAATGTATTAAGTAATTTGTCAAAATTAAGGAACAATATTGCTTACAATCTATGTGCAGTGCACGAAAACGTTGCCTTATCCGGAACAACATTCCCCCATTACATTTACAGTGTGGGACATTCTAGAGAGATCCTTTGAAGCCACGTTATTTTTGCAGGTCAGCAGTGACACAAAAATTGTCAATTTATATGTACGACGTCGGTCTTTACAATCATGACTGGGGATTTTTTGTGTGTTTTTTTTTTACACCGTCCCACATGCCGTGCGTGTTTTGCCGTATACAAACGCTCTGAGCTGAAAGCAAGAAGATGCGGCGCGCGCGGGCGGGGGGGTCAGCAGAAGGAGGAGAAGGAGGAGGAGGAGGAGGGACACCCAGAAAAATAGTTTCTCGATTCAAGTGCAAGCTGACACAAGATGAAATTTTCCATTGAAACAAGGCAATTTGACTTTAGAATAAGATTTTTCTTTTGTTCGAAAAAAAATTTCAGCTTATTTCATGAGTAAATTTGATCTTGTGTTAACGTGTACTTGAAACAAGAAAAATTTATACTTTAAACAAGGAACGGTTTTTTTTGGGCTGGAGGAGACGGCGATCAGGGAGAGGCCCGGGGGAGGAGGCGAAAGTCTGCTGCTGCTGCTGAGGCGCCACGGCGCCACCGACACGTGATGGTATTTATCTCCTCCTTTGTCCGCCGCGAGCGGCAGCGGCGGCGGCAGCAGCAGCAGCAGCAGCAGCAGCAGCAGCAGCAGCAGCAGCAGCAGGTAAGAGGAGGCAATGCTCCTTAACCATGATGAAAATGTTTTAATAAGGGCTCTCCTCGGCCGCGGGGCCAGCCGGGGGCGCGGGCGGGCGCGGGA